TACATATTAAAGCCGGCATTCCCCTAAACAGGACTGAGCTGTAATTTGGGGGGTATTAGAGTCATCTGGGTGATGTAAATTCTCTGGCTAACGCGCAGGGAACAGCAGCTGGAAATAAATGTCGTCTCCCTGATTGGATTTGTCAGGTCAGCAAGCACCTGCAGCACTAAAGAATGGTGAAATATGTTCAGACCCCACAAACGAGGGCGGCCCACCAGGCACGCTACTTGTAGCCCCCCGGCTCTGATGGCTGCCTGGGCGTAGGAGGGGGGGAGTTGTGTGTTTAATAACAGAATTTGTATGCACGCCTGCAGTCAGGAGCTAAGGATGAGCGACCAAGAGGCGGCGAGTATTGGAAGGCGCTCGCTAAACAGATGCTTATAACAGAACAAGACATATGAAATCAGATGTAGTCAGTATTAATATCCAGGGGCGCCGGCGCATACACAACACCGACGCACACCCCAGCACACATCGTTTCCCCCCCCACCTCCCGAAAATCAGCACCGGGGACGACAATACATTTTTATGAGAAATTTTTAGGAGATCAGTACATGAGATGTGACAGAAAAAGCAATGTCGCTGTCATGTTCACTTTGCGCAAAGCGTTTTTCAGTCCCAGATGCCGAGCAGCCTCAGCGCACGGGAAGAAATTGAATTTTGGCTCTCTTTAATGCTCCTTGATTTGGCAGATGGCTCGGCGTGTGGAAAAAAAAGAACGGATGGGAGATATAGGATCACCCTTGTCCGACCTATACAGCCTCCGGTGTAGGAACCGGGGCTAAGAAGTCTCCGGGAAACACGGCCCGCAACTACAGCAAAGGCGATCCGCAGCAATCCGTCCCGCTGCGTGCGTTTGTGGACCAAAAATATAAATGTGATCTGTAGTTTATTTTAATGTTTTTCTTATTAGATAATTCTCATCCCCATATAATACTCCATAACCCCGGGGCCCAGCCACGGGCCCTGCAAACGTATTGGTGGGGTTCTCAGGGCCCCTGCAGACAGGAGTCTGTGTTTACTCAGGCCAGTGAAGGAAAATATTCTGTACACCGGATTCCAGCAGACAAATGTCCCAGTTTTCTTCTTTCACTTTATCTTCCTTTTTTTTTTGTGCTCTTCATCCCATTTCTCTTTTTATGTATTTTATATATTATGGATCTTGTTAAAGAAAAATATCAAATGTGGCACAAGTCATGTTTACGGGGACTATAAATAGTGCCAATGTGGAAGTATTTACTTGTCTAGAGGCCATAATAGTGGTGATCTAGCAGTCCTATGTAATGCTCTCCTGAAGCATGTCCCCAGTCTACAACAACTATGGCATGTTGGGTCATGAATGGTTTCTGATCATCTCCTGTAGTATGTCTGCAGTCTCTGACTATCTCCTGTAGTATGTCTGCAGTCTCTGACTATCTCCTGTAGTATGTCTGCAGTATCTGACTATCTCCTGTAGTATGTCTGCAGTCTCTGACCATCTCCTGTAGTATGTCTGCAGTCTCTGACCATCTCCTGTAGTATGTCTGCAGTCTCTGACTATCTCCTGTAGTATGTCTGCAGTCTCTGACCATCTCCTGTAGCATGTCTGCAGTCTCTGACCATCTCCTGTAGTATGTCTGAAGTCTCTAACAATCT